GGGCATCATTGTATTATGTCTTAACTTTATCAAAATCAACCTGCACATGTGGGCTTTGCCCTAGGAAACTTCAAACTTAAGCATCAGACCAACACAATTCACTCATCCCACCCTTGCCTCCTGCCTCCCCACTCCCCCCCCTCCTTTCCCCAGCTTGGACAGGGAAAGATAAGGTGTGAGAAAGATGGTTTATTTCGTATATTTCTGTTTACTTATTTTGGTTTCCATAATCACAATTTTTTAATATTTAAAATCACTAAAAATTAAAATCTGATCATTAGAACTAAAAATTTAATATTGTATTAACAATTCACTTGATTGTGGGTCTACTTTTGCCCTTTGCCAATTGCCTATATATCTACATAATTATTATTACCATATATTATATTTGTTATATTGGCTCAATACTCATTGGATATACCTTAACTTCAGTCATACAATGACAAATATTGATTCCATGGTACATATATATACAAGAAACTAGAAATTGATTAATCAATGCAACCTAACAGTTTAGGTTCTTATCTGTAGCCTTTTGGGATACATTTTAACTAATAAGGGTTGATTAAATAAGAGTCCTAGCCAAGTGAGGTATTGGCTTAATGAGAGAGGTTCTGGAACTTAGATATCCTAAATTCAAAATTTATCACGTGAATGTGATTCAATTTTATGTTAATTTTGTTCAATTATATATTTGTTTATTGGTTACTTTATTTGTTTAATTTAATTTAATGAATTCTTATATGGATGTTATATTTGATTATAATTATATTTTTTTTATACTTATAACTTCATTAAAAAATAATAAAGGTTAACCCATATGATTTAATCTTTCTTAGGGGAAACAACAATTACTAGATTAAAGTCGAATATTTTTAGAGTGTTTCTTTAATGAAACTTATATATCCTATGATTTCTTTTCTTTTTTTTTATTTGATTGCATGCGAACCTCGACAAATGTTTAGTGGGTTTTAGATGATGACTTTAGCCTTTAAGATAATATAAATCAAGTGGAGTTGAAAATGGAGCTTATATATTTATTGTGATGATTCATTATGCAAAAGAAACCTTCACCATTGCAATGAATATCTTGATCCAAAGTATCATTTGTCCAACGCATGTGTTTTCTTATGAGATAATAATAATCATGATAGTCATAATAATTGTAATTATTATTTTAATAAACCGAATAATTTAAAGACATGGCTAAAGATCCTTATATAAACCCTAGACCACTTTAGTTGCATCTTCTAGGATACGTAGAAATGTCATACTCAAAAAACACAACGAGGAGACAATATTTATCATTATAGGATGACCTTTACTGACACAAGCCCAATGCTTTAAAGTTTAAACCAATTATTATATTATTCCAAAAAAAAAATTATAGTAAATAAATAAATAATTGAGGAATATTGGAGGGACCCATATTGCTAATTTTTTACACCATGGCCCCCACATTATCGTACTGTTGTAGTGCTTAAACCATGATCTGGTTGGCAACATAGACACATCACAATACTTTGGCTTTGCAAAGTATTTGGTCCGCCAAATTTGAGTTTCATAAGTCATAACCAATAGGAACCTTTTAATAAATAAAAAAAATTATGTTGAAAAAAGTATTGTTAATGCTTTATGAAGACATTCCCAAACTATTTTGGAAGTGATTTCACCACCATTTATGAAAACGTGCATTTCACTAAATCAAGGTGACTATAAGGTCTTGATGAACTCATCAAATATAGGGCAGATTGAATTTTTTTTTTTTTTTTTAGGACGGTTAAAGCAATCAATTCTAAGAAAAGTTAATCGTCTAAGTAACAAAAGGTTACTAATTATAATCCTTTGACTGACACTTTTGAGTGTAATAAATTCTTGCATAGCAAAATAATAAAACCCTAAATTCATAAAAATGTTACGTAAATGGCAAAAGAAGTGTGTTATTCTGACCTAATCCGGCTTTTTTAAAAAAATCTTAAAGGCAAATTCTTTTATGTAGATTTAAAAATTTACTCTAAAAATACTTTTTCAAAAATCAAAATGAAAAGCCCTTTCCTTTACCAATTAATTAATCCATGTGGGTATTTTCATTTTTAATTTTGACATGCATATAATATATTAATATATTTTTTATTTATTTTTATTATTTTATAAGTGTGATTCAACTTAATCCTATTACCATATTTTCGATGATACGATGATGTTGTTTGTGACATTGGATTTTATTCTAGGCAAAAATATAAAATATTTTGGTTAAGGGATTGATTTTGAAGATTTGATGATAAAACTAAGATTTAACATATTATCTATAGAATTTTTGGCAAATGAAATCAATTTGATGGTATATGATTGCAATACCCCCAAAGAAAAATTTTGAAATAAAAAAACCAATTTTGTTATAATATTTTTTTTACATGTACTAAAAACGAAGAGAGGGTTACATCAAAAGGATGGAATATACCTATAAATACCTAAAATTTTGGGTTATGAAGTGGATGATCAAAGTTCTACCAAAGAGCGATCCCAAGGGCTAATACCTGTCGGGTGGGAGCCAGTCGAAAATCATGGTTTCCAATCCTTTTGATTAAGGCGTGTGGGGTCCCGTTGGACCATAAAAAAGGAAAAATATGAAAAATAAAATATACTTTGAAGGATTGCATCCACCCCTTTAGTTTTTAGTTGGGTGGTCAATTTCATCTCAAATCAAATCTTTGTTTTGGATCTTTGGAATCCCAAGCCATCGTTATGCAAAAGCCGAAGCCCCTGCCTCTCCTTCTAACCCAAGTTTATGTTACGTACGGTTCATTAAATTGATAAGAATTGAATAATTTATTTATAAAATTTAAATTTAAATTTTTATTATTAATAATTTTTAATAAATTATTTGTGAATTTAATATAAATCATTATTGAAACTTGTGATACACTACTTTGATTTTGAAATAAAATATTTTTTCATATCTAATTTTTTTTTAACTAAAAATAGAGAAAAGTTTAGAGTTCCTTTGTTTAGAGAAATTCATTTCTTAATTCATTGTTCCAAAGTTAGTCTTTTATTGTATATAAAAAAGAAAAAAAACATGTTTCGTTTTTCCTCATGTGGAACATGCTTTAACTTGTAATTAAAGCATCCTTGGTTTATTTCATAGTTACATATTTTACCTCATGAGTTAAAAATTTTATCTGCCAATGAAACCTTATTTTAATAGTAAAAAACATGTTAAAAAATATTTGACAGTTTTAAATTTCATTAGACACGCCAAATTCATCCAATTATAAATTAATTTAACATTGTAATATTTTATTACACGTAACACTAATTGAGTCGTTATTAGACAATGAAAAAGCTAAAATTAAGTGGCAAAACATATTGAGTTTTTAAAAAAAGAATTTAAAACTTAAGATGACCTTAGATAATATATTTTATGTATTTAATTATACAATCACTTTTTATTTTAGGTCCCCTGAAGTAACGCGGTTTCTGGGTCTCAAAGTTTGATAAATCGGCGGCCATTTTGTCCCTTTACCTTAATCCTTTGCAAATTGCATGTGAGGATTTGATTAATTAATTAATAACTATTAATATAATCATAAGAAATAGGATTCTGCCACGTGGTAAATACACTAAGTACATTGATTTGATATTTCACGCATTGCAGATCTAATACATTGATTTCATTTACTTACATTATTTAATAAATATGTTAATATTAAATTATTTTAAATATTAAGTATATTTATTTATAATTAATTGAATTCATAAATATTATATATTTATAAATAATTAAACTCGTGAATAATTAATTTATTCAAATTGAATTTAATTAATAATTAATAATTAATTAATTCTAAATATAAATTTTTATTCAAAATTAAATTATATGAAAAACAAATTATATTTATATAGTCAAAATATATTTATCTATAATAAAAAAAAATTAACATTTGATACAGTAAATGAGTTATAAGAATAAAAAAAATTATTATGAAAAATAAATGATACTTATGTAAGAGTACTCATGTTGCACAATAAAAATATAAAATAAAAATAAATGTAAATAATATATATACTTCTATATACTTAAATTTTTTTTATCACTAGATTTTAAAAAGGTGTTGGACCCACACGGTTTTGTTATTATTCTATCAAGTTTTAGTTGTTATGAAGAATTTAGCTTTAATGGACGCTAGATAGTGTTGTTGACTTGAATTTCACATGGATGCCACTCACACACAAATTTGGTAACTGCCCACTAATTGTCTGCTTCCGAATTTTTTAGTGGTAACAATTTAAAATAATCATTGGTTTCCCTAATTTTTAAAAATATTTTATGGAAAATTCTCAGCTATTTTCTAATTTCAAATCAATTTTAAAAAAAAAAATTAGCATGCGTCATTTTTTTGTTAACGTTTATGTTTTTTTTAAATGAGTTTTAATTTAAATTTTTGAACGTGTATGTGGCATCTCACATAAGCTAAAATGAGGATAATACATTAGGGTTAAAAATTTATTTAAAAGAAAAAGATCGAAATGAAATCATTTTAAAAAATTAAATATACAAATGAAACAATTTTAAAATTTGAGACTAAAATGAACACCAAATAAAAGATGAGGAGCATGAATGAAATTTACCCATGAACTGTATTTGCACTTGAAAATGTCAATGTCATGTCATGCTTCGAAGCCCAATGGATAATGGAAAATCCAAAGCCCATGATTTCTAACTGGGCTAATAAGCCCCCAACCATGTATGATTGGATCCCTTAACTTCACAAAAATAACAATGAATTAACAAAAGAAAATTGGAAAAGACTAATAAACTTGTCTGGGTCTGGTTGGCTCGATCCACTTCTTCAAGATCATGTCTATCACACACGTGCAAGAACAACAAAACAGCACAACATCAAAGTTAAAATCAATCCCAAAATTCATTTCATTCAGAAACAAACAATCGAGTAAAATGATCCTGCTCACTCCTCCATCATCATCTGATACTGGGTTCCCTCAAGCGGCATGGGTAACCTGGTTCCAGCTGGCCAAGAAATTGATTAGAGGAAAGGAGGAAATCTTTGCTTGACAATGCAAGATTTTTCTTTCTTTTCCATGCTTTTTGTCTTGTTTCTTTTACAATCATTCCAGCAGTTCAATAGGACAAAACCAGTTGTTTGCAAGAAGCAGTCAAAATAAATGGCAACATTAAAGGATTCTAATAGTTGTTTGCAGCATTTCATTGTGAGTTATGAGCCAGTCTGATTAGAAGTTTTGGCCACAATGTTATCATGATTTCTTCACTTAAGAAACGATAATCAGCAAACCTTTTTCACATTACAACGTTCCACATTTTCATTTTATAGTAACTTTAAAAATCATCCCACAAAAAAAAAAAAAAAGAGATCAATGTAAGTGCCACAAACAACAATACATAGGTTACAGGAAGGATCAAAGACATGAAGTGGTGGTTTCTTGGAATACGGGGAATGATTGCTGTTCAGTCTTTTCTCCGCATTTTAACATTAACTGGAGCTTCTTTGTATGATTGCACTTTCTCAACTGCTTTGCGCAATGGTCTTCCAATTGAGGATCTTTTCAAAATTTGCGTTTCAGCTCTTAGGTTACAAGTTTCTTCCATTGTTATGGATGAACCATCTTCATGCATCGGAGTATCAAGTTGCTGAGTGGCAGTAAATGTAACATCGTCAATCTCAAATAGATTCTCTGTTGGTTCTCGCTCTTGGGATTTGAACCTAGCAGATTGCCTTCTCAAACAACGCCTACAAAGAAGAAAAGCAGACTTAATCTGTTACAGGTTCAATATTACAATCCATGGCCACAGATACTGGAAAAATTGATCGAAGGCCTATCAAGTGCATCAATATATACAATTAAAAGGCATTATGTATACACTAACTGGACGTGTTAGCTGACCTTTTGCTTTCATTCTTCTGTTTATCTCCACCTCTTTGGCTTGTAGTTGAAGGGCCCATAGCTGCAAGTAGCTCACAAAATCCCATATGTCAACATAACAGATTTAGAGGAGATAAAAAGACAAAAATAAAAATGAAAGGTGGTATAGAAAATTCAAGTGAATCATCTAAGAATCTAAAAGATTACATTGACTTCTAGCATTGCGTCTTCTGTTGCGGGTACAAGGCTTGTCATCATCATAAGCTTTAGCCTTAGGCATGCATTCCTCCTCACCAGCTTGCTCTCCCCCATGTGAGCCAGTATTTTGACAGTTGATATCCGCTTTTCCCTGCTCTCGTAATAGAAAAAAAAAAACAAGAAGGTGTAAATTGACTGAAAGGCAAGAAATAACTTACAAGCAGTGAAATATTTTCTTTGTTGAAAATTTCCTAATCTATTGTTGGCATATTGAATGTGAAATGATTACATCAATCTTACTGGCAGCTACTTGCCGTAAAGTTGTCCAGTTGTTGCAAGTAAGGAATAAGGATACAGTTGGTTCAGAGCTCTCGGTTGTTTAAAGCTATTGGTGAATTATAACACTATTTAACTCCAATTCTAATAACAAAAAGTAAGATTAATGTTAACCTTTTTTTCCAGGTTCTTAGCTTTAAGTAAAGCATCCTTGCAGACAAGCTCATGCTGAAGAGCTTTCACCTGAAAAGATTGACACCAAATTACCCAAATTGAATTAGGTTTAATGCTCCAGGAAGCAAAACACCAGTTTTTATAAAAGAGTAAAAAGTTCCAAGCAAACTTACCCTATCTCTCCCTAAATTAAGCTCCTGAAAAACCAGCAAAAGACAATCAATATTAATAATAACAATTAAATATTTCAGAAATGAAATCTTACTTAGAAAATCAAGAAAGCCAACAGACCGCTAACATCTGACTGTTTGATTGAGCAAGGTTCCAATTCTGTAGCTGCAATTTTTGTAAACAGATTCTCAGATTCTGCAACTCAGTTCCACTCAATTCAATAATCTTACTGTTCAATCAAAATTAAGGGAAACAAAATCTCTATCCATTCTTTTAATGTCAGAAAATTGAACATAACAAAGGATACTTTCTCTCCTCGATAAGTTTCATCAGTGTCATCTTTTCCTGGTTCAAATATAAACAACCATTAAAGAAAAAGATAAAAAATTACATTAAAAAAAATAAAATAAAGAAGATCCAGATCACAAAGTACCTTAATTAACTGATTAACGTAATCTTCAGCAGCAGGAGAAATATTTTGAGGTTTTCCCTCTTGGGTTGAAGCCTTGTGTTGTGACTGTGAATTGGTGATGTCAGACAATCTCTTCCTCACCATGCTCCCAAAAGTTGATCTTTTTGCCATTCTTTCGCCTCCCATTCTGTGAAAACAGTCTCTAAAATCCCTAAAAATAGATAGGCTGAGGAACACTAATGTTAAAGAAACAAAGAAACAAATCAGAAAAAGAGGAAATTTTGAACAAGGAAGTGGGAAGATATCCAAAGAACTGAACTTTGTTCTTTAGAATGAAGAATAAAGTAGCGAATTTGAAATCTTTCTTTTTTCGACTTTGGCCCTGAAGCAAGGATTCGATTCCCAGAGAATAAGGGAAAGATTGAATGAAAGAAACGAAGGGGGAAAATAAAGATAAAAAAAAAAGAGAAATCAAAGGAACAAAAGAAAACTGGTGGAGTAAAGAAAGATAAGATGGGGAGGTTCGGTGCCCTAACGGCTTCCTAAAGCAAAACGCCAAAAGCCAAAAGGTTAGCTTAGTAGCTCCCGAACCTAATTTTAAAATTCCGAACCTTGTTCCCTGCCTAACTTTTTTTTGCTCTTTTTCACTTAAGAAATTTCCTTTTTCTTGGAATTTCCTTTCCAACTAACAGTTTGGAGGTTTTCATTCCCTTGCTTTCATGTTGGGAATTTTCTTTTTCTTTTTCAATTAAATATCCTGCTTTTGAATCTGGGTGATTCTGACAACACTTGCATAAGTGATTCCTACGGCATTGAATCTCATTTAATATTTTGAAATCATTTAGCACAATAATATATGTCTAACTGACAGGATTTCACACCATAAGTTTCAATATTAAATCCACATGAACTTGTTTTCTTCAAACGTCCCTAGTCAGACGCGGAACTGCTGAAGAAGGCAGTGGCAGTGGCTTCATGACTTGAACTTTGTTTATATGACTTACGGGTCTAAGTCTAACACTCGGGACATCATGTACTCGTATTCACAGATCTTTATAGCACTCGAGAATGTTTCGTTACTCAAAAGCTTACTCCAGTTTTATATTTTTCTAATGACAACATTACCATATGCTCAAAGACAAGTTTGAAAGTTTTAAAAGCAACTTTAAATTATGTGTTAGTAATTGTACATGAAAAAAATGGTAAACAGATGACAGCATGGGATCAGGGTGAGGGGAGGAGAAAACAAAGGGAAAGAAAATTTCGAGCAAACCCACTTGGCAACTTTGTCATCGGTTCAGTCTCAATGGGCAACAAGTTCAATGCCACCACTGTTCTCTATCAGATGCCAAGGCCAAATAACTATTGTCTCGTACAGTTTCAAGAATTTTCTCTAAACTTGTATATATCGCTTTGTAGAACTTCCGGGTTCTCACCACCAAAATCAGGGAACTCAAGGCTCCAAATAATGACAGCTCCGGTTAGCCCTTCACAGCCCTTCAAGAGACCCAATATAGAATCCCTGCTTTCAGGGAAGTTCTTGACACTGGTGACCAGAGCTCCTGTATTTGCAAAATTCTAAGAATTGGCGCCTATACAGATGTAAATTGCACATTTGCCAAACCTTGAGCTTCGCTATTCTTCCCGTCACAGTAAACCAATATTATGAAATAGCCTCCAAAGTTGAGTGCAGCCCCAAGTAGGAGCACAAACCAAATAAGGCCAGAAAGAACCCCAACATTACCACCAAGATCCTTGAAGAAGTCTTAAGAGATTGAGTGTTGTCTGATCATAACCAAGAATAGCTTTGATCTCCTTTGAGTAGCTTCCAAAAAAATATGTTGCACCACCTCCAGCCATGATTAGGAAGGAGGCAAAAAGTGCAAACCATCGTCCTCTGAGGAACTGTACCGTGAAAGGCAACAGTTCATTGCCTTTGAGTCCTCTTCTGATCGAGATGCTGCCCGTTTCTTCGTCAGCCATACTCTCCAAATTTTGAAGAGGAAAAAGAGAATATGTCGAATTAAACTTTCCAGGATTGAGGCAAAAAAAAAAAGAAAAAAAACCTTCCAGGATTGCTATAGAGTTGTTCATAAGAAAGGATCATATATAAATATAAGACAACAAAGTTGGTTGTGTGTTGCATAACAATGTTTGGCAGGCCGCGTAATAGAAAATTGACATGGTAAGAAATTTTCAATATATTAACGTTTAAAATATAAGGACATTTTATAGTTGTAAATAAAAAAATGAATTTTCATATAAATTACTATAACAAAATTTCTCTTATAGAAGACAATATATTATAACCAACTAAAATTTAATTAACATTTTGTTTGGTTGGATATTTTATTTTATTGTAAAAAATAAGATAGTATTGGAACCTAATAAATTTTGAGATTAAGAAATATAAAGATAAAAAACACATGAATTTTGAGATAGATTTTTTTCAGCAACCAATAATAAAAAAAAAGGGCTATTTCTATGTTTGCGAAGAAGACAATTCTATCATATTATAATATTTATACCAGATTTAAATCAATCAATTGGAATAAATCAATTATTCTCATCTTGTTTGTAGAGATGGTGGATATTGATTTCCAATTTTTACCATATCGATTGTCTTCAATACTATAATATTTATATTTACAGTTATATTTTTAATATTTTTTGCTTAAAATAGTTAATCCTAGATGAAAAAAATTATTGTTATATGATTATACTAAATCAACATGAAATGCAGCTTATTTTGTTCTAGTATTGAAGACAAAAATAATGAGGCAACAGGGTGATTAAGAAGTTGGTCTTCTATTTCAAAATCTAGTGGATTATTAATGTCCATCATCTCAGGTTCCCTCTATGTCACATTGTCACTAATGCCATTACGAAGAGTTAGCAGCCAATGACCCAGTATTTGTGGGTTAACTTCCCCGTTAACTTTGGGCCAAATTTTACACTCGAAGCCTGTAAAACTCAAAGCAAATGTTAGGGGTTCTGAGAAAAGCGAGCCCATAAAATAACATGATTCATTGCAAGTTGCAACAAGGCCTAACCTGTTCTATGTTTTTTTCTTTTTTATATAATTGGGGTGAGGGGAAGGACTGCAGCAGATTCGAATTCCTGTCCAGGAAAATAATTGGGTAAATCGTTACCAGAAACAGTATACTATAACAAGTAGAAATATTATAATACGACCAGTTTTCCATTGGTGAATATAAATATTACAGTATTTGATCCCTAATTAATGCCATACTGATTTAATATGATTATGTGACTTTGCTCATATAACTTACGGCTCTAAATTGACTACATTCTTATCTCTAGGGAATGCTACTCAACAGCTAGCTCCAGTTGGGTACTGAGGAGTCATTGGACCTGGATTGGCTGATCAAAGTAGCAAAATCCCACCGCCCCACGTGAATTTTCCTTGAACTTCGGCCATACAAGATAAAAGAAAACTATCCTAGAACTAGACCGGGTAAGTTCCATAAACCATAGACGGATTGCAAGCTAGGAGCTCATGTATTTCCGAACCCACTATAACACAAGGTGCCACTTGCAAACCCACCCGTGACTCACATAATTTGACACGGAAGAAAAAGTATAAAAATCTTTGAATTGGAGAGAAAGGGTGGCGGAGGTTTATTTTGTCATGTAATGCTTGACAAAATGGTGTGAACTGATATGAACTATAAAAGCCAGAAGTTATAATCCATCACAATTCTTAAGCGCACTGCCCACTGAGCACTTTCCTTTGCTTTTTGAATACTCAAAGACAAATTTGAAGGTTCTAAAAGCAACTTTAGATTATGAGGTAGTAATTATACATAAAAGAAATGGTAAACAGATGACAGCAAGAGATCTGGGTCAGGTGATGGGAAAACAAAGGAAAAGAAAATCTGGAACAAACCCACTTAGCAACTTTGTAATCGGTGCCGTCTCAATTTTGAACCAAGTTCAATATCACCGCCGCTCTTTATCAGAGGCCAAGGCCAAATCACCGTTTCTATCTCATAAGGTCTCAGCATTTTCCCTGAACTTCTTGTATATATCGCTTTTGTAGAACTTCCGGGTTCTCACCACCAAAATTAGAGAACTCAAGGCTCCAAAGAATGTAACAGAAGCCAAAACTATAAACGGTAGCCTGTAACAATGAGTGCCAATGCAAGTCAATTCTTTCACTGAGGACCGCGTTAGACCTTTCTCTGCAAGATCCTTCAATGCCTCTCTATCGTATAGAAACCCAGTAAGCTTCACATTGAATATGTATGACCCAAGAGGACTAGCCAATTGTCCACAATTGAACAATGTAGAGTAGTACTTCAGGCCAAAAAGCTCAGAAATTATGGCGAAAAGCAAGGGTAGTTGTGCACCAAATGAGAATCCAATTATGATTGATGCTATATAGATTGAACCTGGGGCTGGAAAGGCAACCAGGAGGTAGCCAATGCATGCAAGTAGAAGGACCATAGTCATCATAAGTGGTCGGGGAAGCTTGTACCTTACAATCAGGCTTTCGGAGACAAACCCAGAAAAGACCCTCCCAAAGTAATTCCAGATGCTAACAAGCGACACAAAAGAAGTTACTGTTCTATTAGGATATCCAAGCGATTCACCAATCTGCCCCAAGTTGTCTACAGCTGTTAAGCTTGATCCAAGTCCACAAAATGTTGCAAGAAACAGAATCAACATGTCAATGCTTGTCAGTGCTTGCAAAATTGTGTAGTCATCTCCTCTGTCAGGCCTATCAAAAATGGTAAGGAAACAAGACTTTTCTTCCTTTTCATCAGCCTGTTTTGAAGAACCAGGCTCCGACGCCTCTTGTTTTGATTGAACTATTTCTGGTTGAGGCTTCTCTACCGTTATCTCGGTTGGAGGATTTATTGGCTGTTTCTTAATGTTCCAAACGACTAATTCTTCTCTGATGGAAATAAAGAGAGGGGCAAAGACAAGGAAACAAACCACTGTGGTAGCGCCAGCGTATTCGGCTCTTGAGAAAGTAACCAGTTTCTCAGCTAATGTTATTGCCATGAGAAAAACTGCTAGCGCAATTGAGGCGAAGAGGAAGTGGTAAAAGACCCGCTTCTCGTTCGGGTGCCTAACGGGCCTCATTGTCCGAATTGTGTATACAAATATTATCGAAATTGCAGCCGGTAGCCATCCAATAAGAAGGATGAGCGATTTTGAATCATTTCCATATACAGCCAAGTAAATTTGTGTCATGACAGCTCCGCTTAGCCCTGTATAGCCCTTCAAGAGACCTAACATATTACCCCTGCTTTCAGGGAAGTTCTTTACACTGGTGACCAAAGCTCCTGTATTTGCAAAATTCTGAGAATTGGCTCCTATACAGATGTAAATGCACATTTGCCAAACCTTGGGCTTGGCTATTTTTCCTGTCACAGCTAACCATATCATGAAATAGCCTCCAAAGTTGAGTGCAGCCCCAAGTAGGAGCACAAACCAAGTCGGTGTTACCTCAGCAATAAGGCCGGAAAGAACCCCAACATTAGCACCAAGATCCTTGGAGAAGCCTAAGAGATTGAGTGTTGTCTGATCATAACCAAGAGTGGCTTTGATCTCCTTGGAGTAGGTTCCAAATAAATATGTTGCACCAGCTCCAGCCATAATTAGAAAGGAGGCAAAAAGTGCAAACCATCGGCCTCTGAGGAACTGTACCGTGAAAGGCAACAACTCATTGCCTTTGAGTCCTCTTCTGATAGAGATGCTGCCCGTCGCTTCCTCAACCATACTTTCTAATTTTCTCAATTTGCTGAGGCTATGGAAATGGAATAAAGAGAATTGATCAAGAAAACTCTGACAAGAGAAAGAAGAAGAAGAAGAATCTAAATACTGAAAAAGAAAAAGAGGATATGTTGAACTAAGCTTTCCAGGATTGTGAAAGAGTTGTTCAAAGGAAAGGATTGTAAATAAGACAGTTTGTTGTGTGTTGCATCAAAACGACTAATCGGATTATAATGTTTGGTAGGCCGGGCTATAGAAATTTGACAAGGTAAGAAATTTTTTACATGCCCGGGTTCGTTTGCCTTTGTTTCGGTTCCAGGTTGAAGCCCTATTCTTGGGGAAACTGACTATGCTTTTTTTTTTTTAGTAAAAAATAAAACTATATTTATTTCTATAAAAAGTCATATAGGATAAACCCATTCTGAAATTGGTCCAAAAATAGTATTCTTAGAAGAAGTTTGAGTTTTGTCTATGGGTGTTTTGATGGTTATTGACAGACAATTAAAAACTAGAAGAGGTTACTTTATTCACTAGTGAATTTGAAAGATTAAATCTTTTTCTTTTCTCTTTAATCATATTTTGTCTAATGAGGTGGGAACACTTTGTCTTGGAAATGAGCTGGGAACCAATGTTCCAGTTTTTTTGGTTTTGCTGAAATCTCAAATGGAAAAAACAGGATCAATGGATTACTTCCTTCTGGTTTCTGTTTGGTCAAAGATCAGAAAAGATAGAATTCTCTGGTCAGGTCAGCTCATTATCCACAGTAATAAAAACCCATTCCTTAATATGGAAAATAGGAAAGGCCAACTAAGTAAAAGAATGTAGTAATTTGTAATAAAAATACTATTTGTCCTACAATGTTTCTCTCTTTTTCTTTTTTTTTTTTTGCATGACATATAACTTTTGGTAGGATCCTAATTTCCTTTTGGATAATTGGGATTGTAATATAAATTTATGAATTAATTGACTTGTCCATTAATTATTAGATTCAATATTTGAATATATCAAAAAATTAAAAATTTAAGACAAAATTAGTGAGACAAATAACATGAATCAATTTATAGGCTGTGCCAATTTTTTAATGGAAGAAATATTTGCAAAAATTATTTTTTTTTTCAAATAAGATATACTTTCTTTTTTCCTCGAATCCAAACATGAAAATTTTTACTTTCCCTATTTTCTAAAATCATGGTTAGCAAAGGTTTCCTTGGTTTTAACTAGGCTTTTTACTCTTAGTTATATTATCCCAAAATTAATTTTTTTTAATGCCAAAATTAAACAGTTTCTTCTAAGTCTGAGATACTTACTAATTTGTTAACTTGAACTTTGTCTGTTACAAAACACCCTTATCCAAAACGGGTTTTATTTGAGGAATAATATTTGAAATATTATATTTTTGGAAGAAAAGAAAAACATTTCGGAGTGACTTGGAATATAAATCTTGTGGCGAAATATGATGTATATATCTGCTTGTAAAGACATTGGAGTTTCATAACTTTTTCCTCATGATAATAATGCAGTCACTTTCTATATTGGTCACGATATCATGAGGCCGACGTATTTGAAAATCAATGGAGCACTATTATGTGTGTGATTGATCATTACGTTAGATAAGATAAGCAAATTATTTTTTATAAAAAAAAAAAAATTGCAGTTTGACGATGAAAAAAATTAAAAAATTTTAGATATTAAAATTAAATTTTATATTTATTAGAAATTATATTTTAAAAATAATTTTATAAATTAATTGAATTAAATTTTGATTTAATAAAACGAACAAATTCACGCTAAAGCTAAAAGACATTTGCTGGCAAAAAGAATATTCAATTATTGGACTTACGGATGTGTTTCAATTAGTAGTTTAGTACTTCACATCGCAACTAAAAAACCCACTAATTATAAGACTTTCCTGAGTTCTTCTATTCAACCTCAAACTTTTTCTAATAAATTTCAATTCAATTCCAATCTATTGAAGAAGGCATTGAGGGTGAATTCTATTATAATGACAATATTTTGGGCATAAGATTAAGAAATCTATCAAACTTAGCTAGATTTCAATAAAATTTAAGTTCAGACCTCATACAATTATAACTAAAGTCGTGTTCAGTTGTTTTAATCCATTTTTTCAAGACCAAACCCCTCTACCTTAGACTTTTGTGTTTGACAAATGATGCTTGGTAATTAATGATTAGGCATTTTAATCCATTTTGTCACAAGACCATACCCCTCTACCTGAAGAATGACAAGGAAACATAAGTTGTCTTGTTTACAGGCCATTTCCAACCCACAGGAACAGTATACACAAGCTGAACCCTCAAGGAGCGTCATGTGTCGTAGACGTCTCTGCATTGTTCACATTGTTGCGCATCAGCTGCTTTGGCATGTGACAAAACAGACACAAACTAGCTAGGAGTAAAATTTGTCTGCAGCTGCTCGGCCTAGTGGCCAAGTAAGCCTTGAGAAGGCTGGGGTTCGACTCCAGCCTCCCCCCCTCCCCTTGATGTAGGGCTCGGCTCCTTTGAAAACAAAAAAAAAAAAAAAAAAAACTCTAATATGGTGTTTTCCAATAGCAAAAACAGGGGAGAAGACAAACTTTCCACCATTACTGGAAGAAATGGCAGTAGATACGGAATTTTAGGAACAATGATCCAAGACATGGAATCCTAGAAATGAGGAATGAATTACTTAAGAGGTGGTTTATGTTTGTATCCGTTGATGCTGCTTCCTAAGCTCCAAAAGGTGCTCCAAAGCGTGATAGGAGAAAAAAAGAAGGAATCCAAGGTCACCTAAAACATCATTAGAAAATAGAAATAATTGCAGCCAGACTATTTTGTGAGATTTAAGGGAATCGCGCATGTCCCCTTTATGATGTCCCCATCAGATATTGGCAATTGAATAGCAGCCTCCACTGAATAGAGGGGACAGGGCCTCTTATTCTTTGCATATTGATGATGGCTCCATGTTACATGTACTATAATATGGCCATTCACATCGTATCCTTAGCAATATTGTAGTGGTAAGATAAGGAGGCCCAAAGCTGTGGCATGGCGACGGTTATGTTGAACTTGAGGTAATGGTGAAGGCGGGGCGCAGGACAGTGTAGTTGACAGTGCATTTAATAGTTGCTTGTATAATGAAGGTTATGATTGTCATGGCACGTGATTGTGATTTAAGCAGCTGCGGTGATAAGCCCTTAGTTAAAATGGGTGAGTAAATGGCCCCTATGATCAGAGAAGGGACGATATATAGAAGTTCTGAAAGCGATGTAGCATATATGCTAATGGTTTTGACATGGCTAGATTGTTCTTTGGGGAACATGAGCAGCTATGGAACAGCTATTCTCCAGGCATATTTCTTAGCTAAAATGTTTAAGGAAAAAAGAAAGGAAAAATTTTCAAGAGAGTATCTAAAATGGTGTCCTTAAAGAGTTCTTGTTTTCATATTTCATAAGAGCTTCCACAGCAAATGTCGGGAATGAAAGTATTCTAACAAGGGTATCCCAGCCTGTGGGGAAAAATTCTTCACGTGATCTTTGTTTAAGGCACTCGACAGTGTTGCAAATTCAATATCCAAAGCCCAAGTTTAGCACATAAAAATGGATGAGAAACTTCAGTCTTACACATGCTGATCCATTTTTTACCTGTGAAGACTGAAGACCCATCTCAAATGAGCACAATGGCAAGAATTGGTAGGAGATCCATTAGTTGACATACAATAGCCCCTTCTTTCTATTCAAGCCCATTCAGAAAAGGACTCGTGGGTTTAAGGAAGTTCGATAAAAGAGTAGGCTTTGTTTTGTTAAAGAGTTCGATAAAAGAGTATCCTTTTGGGTTTCTAAAAATTTCCATATTGGGCCGACAGCCCAATCGTAGTCAAATTCATTCATTATAGTTCATAAGCAAAAAATGCCAGACATGCAATGCAACCAAAAGAATATGTGTTGATCTAAACATATGAACTAACTGAAAAAACCTGTTGAATGCCGAATCCAGCAGAGATCAATCTGCAACATTTTGCAAACCATATCCAATTTATTCATCCAACCTTATATAATAGTACTAAGCGTTTATTGGTTTATCATCCACATTACCATTAATGAGTGACTCAACTAGTAGTTTGTCAATAAATTTTCAAGCCTTCACTGCTCCCTTCCATGAGCACATGGAAACATGACAATAAGCTTATATATTTGTCCCCTTTGACAAAAGGTTCCTTGTACCAATAATTTAGCACTTTCTTTTTCTTTTTCCAACACAAATATTTGGCCAAGCATGTGCTTGGACGGCTCATACGTCAAAGCAGTAGGGTCAGTGCCCACAAATTTGTTTCTGCTTCTTATAGATTCAAGTTTTTCGAATGGGGACCCTTTCAAGCCTTTTCTTCAATACCTTCATAACTTTTAGGGCAGGGTGCAGCCCTGCATTAGACAGGCTTCATTATTGGGTAACTATTTCAAGCATTTTGATGGGTGCAATCTTGTTAAGAGATTATTTGGCAGAGGAATATGATCCAGATAAACAGTAGAAAGCGGGCCTCTCTTTCCACTTTTTTTAAGGTTAATTGCAATGGTCCCGGAAGGTCCAATGAGAGCAATTAAGATGAAAGGATTACAAACCTAAAAACAGCTCTATCCCCTGGATATTATAGTTTGGTTCATTGATTGTTTCCTTCATACAAATATGCCAGGAGGGCTTTTAGCCGTTCAGAAGGTGGTCCGTCTGTTGGTGTTCCTTTCCTTTTTTTCTCTTTGGACAGAAAAAAAAAAAAAAGATTGAATGGTTCACCCTCACCTTCAACTCTTTTTCTAAGTAGTTCACAAAAACAAAACTATAATTCCATCATGTCAGATCAATAGACTGAAATCTGTAACACTCCATCTATCTTGATCATGCTTAAGAGATTGGAAGAATTTATTTACATCATGAATATATAATGAATTGTCATTTTTTTTTTTTGTATTTAAAGTTGTAGAGATTAAACCCTGATAATTAGAATTAAAAATCCAGCATTTGTCAACAGACCTCTTCATATTTTTGCTGGTTAGGACTCTGAAGTCTTTTCAAGTGTTAGTAATACTTTTGTTTAGGAATAATTTTTTGTATGAAAATCTTAAAACTTTAAGGGTCATGAGACCACTTACTTTAAAGAGTCATGATCACTGACTATACAAGTTTACATTGACCACTTGTTACAATGCAACCTGTTGATCCTTATCTACTTTTCTCCTTGAACCATTAATCTGGACTCTCAACCTTAAAAACTTGTGGTTAGAAGCTTTGCTTCTTTCCATTTCAGTACTTGATATTGGCCTTATCATCTTCAACAGCTACATCATTCTCTTCTATTTGGAAAAAAAAGTTAGTCCCAATGACATGATTATTAGGTACACGGTTGCTAGAAAGGTAGAAATGAGGAACAGAAAGAATCTAATTGTCATTTAGTAATTCCTGAATCTATCTATTGAACACGATTTTTCAAGATTTGCTGTCAATTTTCCAGTTATCTGAACTTGACCCATAAATTCCCAATCGACTTTTCATTCTTTTTTCCTCTCACATGGGAGGAAGCATATAAAAATAGGTTGTCTAATTTTAGAATCTACAACTAGAGAAATAAAAGAACAGAGTGAAAAAGACAGAAACCAGCTCATTTGGATCCTACCCTTATTTACCTCAACAAAATTAAGAACAAAACTTACGTAAAATTTTTTGGAAAAAGATCTGGAAATTTTTTTTATCAATAATTTAATAAAAAATTAAAATTGGTATATTAATAAAGTTTAATGTAAAAATTAATAATATGTAAAAAAATATATTAAAATATTATTTATAATTTAAATTTAATTAATATTTATTTAATGATAAAATTTTATTTATATTTTTATTAAAAATATTTATCTAAAAAATATATAAAAATTTATTACAAATTTTTTCAAATTTTACATATTTAATCTATATAATGAAATTTTTTAATTTATCAATTTGTACTTTTAATTTTTTATTTTAATTTTTATTTAATAATTTCTAATAAAAATTTTACGAATTTTATCTAATTTTTTTCTTATACTGTTATGTTTGATTTGCGAGAGAAACTTAATAATAATAATAATAATAATAATAATAATAATAATAAAATCAAAATTTATTGAGTTGAGTTAAAATTTTAATTTTTTACGAATTTATCATGTTCAACGGAGATAAATTTGTTTAAATTGATAAAAAAAAAATGTAATGGATAAAACGTAAAAACTCACTGTCACTCAAAAAAATGGAAAATAAATGATTAAAAATATAATATAATTTATCATCACCAAAAATAATTCTAATTAATCGTACGTTTGACCCTTTAAATAGTTTGCTTTCACATCTTTGATCAGAAACCAAACAAAATGCAAATTATTTTAAGGAGCAAAAGCCGCCTTTATCTTCTTTAAAGGTGTCGAAAAAAGTTTGTAGGAGTATAATTTAACTCAAGGCCACCACAGTGACAATGATGCCTAAATCTAAAACTCCCCCAAAAAAGTTCCATAATTACACCCATGATGATGAAATCAAACTGATCTATTCTCTAACCATAACTTCATCAAGAATGAATTATTGGTTGATTTTTTAGGTTCTTTGTGGGACCCCAAAGTACGTCCTTCATTTGCATTTGGAAATCTCAGTTTCAATTTGAAGTGATTGCTTTCTACTTTGGGGGGGTGTTTGCTGATGTTGCCGCTGGAGATAGAGGAACTGTTTACATTTCCTTCAATTAAAATCATTTCAATTGTCTTTGCTATTACACACTGTCTTAAACAATAAAATGCAAAATAAATAAATAAAACAAGTATTCATAAATTTTCAGCTATTATTAGACATGATAATTTATATTTTCTTATCATATTTGATATATATATAATAACATAAATTATTAAAATATGAATACAGTACGAATTATAAAACATATTTAAATCTTAAATATGAATGTGATACGTTTAATATACGTATTATATGTGACAAATAAACATAAATAATATGTATATATATATGAATAAATATAACTAACGTGAATATATATAAAAATATGATTAAAATAATAAATAATTATAATTTATCTATAATTTATAACGTAATAAATTTGATATATTAATAATATAAAAAATACATATATATTAAAAAATAAAAAATTTTAATACTCATTTAATATGTATTTAATTTATATATTTAAAATTTAATTTATATTACATAATTATATTAATTTTTAGTATCAAATTCAAAAAGATAAATTATTAAAGATTAAAAAATAAAATAATGATGTATAGGAGTAATATTAATATTAATATTGTATTTATTTTATCAATATAAAAAATAATTTTATAATAATTGTTAAATGAGTATCATAACTAAATATTTAAAATAATTTTTATATGATATTAAATAACTAATTAAGTATCATAATTAAAAGATTAAAAATTAAAATAATCTTTATATATTTTATATTAAATTCAAATAAATATAAAAATTTATTAAACGTGTTAAACATATTTAACGTATATTCGTATGACAATATTAAATTAAATATATTATTCATGTCATATTTCATGTTTAGACAAGTCAACATATATAAGACACAAATTATGTCATATTGAAATTCATATCGATACGAATAAATACGAAACATGTTTTTTAAAACACATATATGATTTTTTTCATATCGTTTTTATATCGTATTATTATGTCATGTCTAAAATTATCAGGTCTAGTTATTGATTTTTGAATTATCAATTACCATTTTTGATGACCATTTCGTGAACATATTTAATGTTTATTCATTTGTATTTATTTATTAAATTTAACAAATAATTTTGAATAAAATTTTTTTATTAATTTATTAAACAAATCAAATATGAATAAAATTTTATTTACTTCGTTTATATTCATGAACAAACTTGATTAAAATTTATTTAAAATTTATTTGTTTATTTTTTGTTGTTTGTTTATTGTTCATTATGATAATAACAATAAAGTTATATTTTTATTTTAATCCTAATCTTATTTTAAGATTTGTTTATATTCATTTAAGATTTATTTATTTAAATTTATTAAGTTATAGTTTATTTATTGTTTATGAGAAATATGTTTATTTAATATTTACGAACGAATTTATTTAACTTAATCGAATTGAACATGAACTAAATGTAAATATCATATTATTTAAATTAATCAAAGTTGAATGAATAGAGTAATTTTCTTACCGAACATAAATCAAATTTAAATATTTCTAAAAGTAAATAAATGAAATATAATTATACATTCATTTATATTCAATTCGTTTACAGTTTTTATATAAAATTAAGATTGAGAAGAGATCAAAGTATCTAATGCAATTAATTTTAAAAATGTTCACACATTGCACAATTAGAGAAGACAATCTAACCCACACCGATGAGTTTCGATTCAATCCGATTTTTTAGAGTTAATTAAATAAAAAAAATCTCATATGAGATCGAATCTAACAATAGTAAAAAAAATCAAGATCAAATTTTAATTAAATCTTATCAAACCCAATATATATATATATATATATAATTATTTTTAATTAATTATTTACTTTTATATTTATGTAATTTTTATTTATATTAAAAAATAATAATTTATATTTAAAAATAATATTTTATTAATTTTAGATCAGATTAAATTTGAATATAAAAAAAAATTTATGAGATTAGATCAATTTCAAATTATATATATATATAAAATTAAATCAAATTTAAAATGAATAAAAATTTACCTCAATTCAATTCGTTGTTATTTTTAAGCATAACGTGATTACGAAAAAAAAAAACTAAATTCAGATAAGAAACTTTCTCGGTTCTTTCATTAAAAAAAAAAAAAAAGATAGAAAAGTAAGAAAGGCGGCTATCAGGTTGGAGTTTGGTCATTGGTCATTGCTTTGCCACCAATACAAAAAGAGACAACATCTTCCTCACTTGCGTACATAAATAACAAATGTTTTTGTTAAGAAAAGCCAGTCTGAAAACGTTTTTGGGGACCTCCAGGTCAGACTTTGTACACAAGTTCAAGTTATTCTGCACCAAAATTCAACCACAACTTTCTATTCAATGCACTCACACGTGTACCACTAACTCAATCTTTGTTTTTTTTGGTAACGAAAAAGTCTAAAAATACTTGATGGTAAGGTTACTTATGATCTGATATAGTAGGTAAGATGTCACAAATTCTAGTCTTATTTTGTGACGGGAGAAGCTCAAGGTCGAGAATTTTGAAAGCTTGGGTTTTAAGGTTTAATGTAATTCAAGCTCAATTCAGAAAGTGCTTTAGGCTCCCTTGCATCTGCAAACTTGTTTGAATCATTGTTTTACCTGCTTGTTGCGTAAAGTTCACCATAAATGACGAATTGATGGTGCCTTTCTACCTCTAATCTATTGGAATGAAACCAAACATCATGATGGTCTGTTTATCTTCATATATAAGCTTACGCAAGTTTCCAATCACTTGATTTTTAAGCGTCGTATATAAATAATTGTCATTTATAGTTTTACATAGGATTTTACTACCGGTTGTCTTAAAATCATTCTTTAAAATTATTATGTTAGATTTTTTTAATATATTAAAAATTGTCAAATTAATTACTAATGACTATAATTAATATAGGATTTTTTTACAAAAAGATGTCACATATTGGGAATAAAAAAATTGAAAGTGCTAAAATTTAAATTTAAAATTATTAAATCTATTTTTAATTAATTATATAAATCAATTAAATTAAATTAAAAGTTAAAATAAAATTATTTTTATAAATAATAATTTAACTAAATTTAAAAGGTACGTGAAATACATTAGTTAAAAAATTCTTTTGTACATCTAAAATATCCACAAGCTTTTAATAAACATTCAAAGGATTAAAAACTTAATTTTGTAATTCAGAAATCTCATGTTCGAATTTTAAAAATAACAAATTTGTGTTTTACATGGAAATAGTCTATATATGATGTGTTAAAAACATAGACAACTTACATACTATTCTCAATTTAGAAAAAGCCTCTATACAATCCACCAACATATATATTATTCTTAACTTTTGCCAAGTTTTAATCTTTGATTTGATCCGATTATTTCAAGTTCAACAAAAGCAAACCTTGAAATCCAGACAGATCTTGTGATGTTTGTCCATGTCCTTTTTGGCCCTTTTCATTTGGCAACTTTTTAATTCATCCTTTGCCCCTCCATTTTTTTTTTTCTAACAAAGCCATCGGAATATGCGCTTGCTCAAGCCTTTTTTTTTTTTTTTTTCGTACAAAATTTTCCCCTATATTGATTTTTTGATCCAGAAAAAAGTACAACCCAGTCAATAACATTAAAAGATCTCAACCGTTGATCAAAAACCAATCAAAATCCCAAGGGCCCACCATACCTTAATTACCAAGTACCAGAGGTTTAATTCTGTTGTCACCTTCATTAGCCCAATGCTTTACGCACAAGCTTATCGGTTAACACGAGATTATCAATTCATTTTTACTAATAAGTACTCTCAACATTCCACCTTAATGCTAGTTCACTAAGGGCATTCATGTCATTAAACGCATCAAAATCCTCACTGGGCCAAAATCAGAACATCGAAAGAAGAACCGAGGCCTACGCCGGATTCCATTCTCCTCCGTCGCCATGTGACCTGTCTGTCTGAACCTCTCTTTCTCTCTCTCTCTCTTTTTTTTTTTTTATAAATTTTTCATTGATGAAAGCTGAACCCAACCAGACCTGTTATGAAATAAGATAAACAACATTTGTTCAAATTTTTGGTGCAAAAACGAAGTGCCAACCAACCTGTATCTATCCATCTTTTAATCACTGTATCTTGATTTCCACTTCATCATCAAAACCAGAAACCGAAAACCCCATCTCAACTGCTTTAGCTTTAGCCAAAGATAAGCCGTTTGATCTTCCTCTGGGAAACAATCTTCTGTTGCAGCTTTTTGTCTTTTCTGTGTTTCCTGGTGGTGTTTTTATTTTAAATTAGATGATGGCTTCAGAACTGCAAAAACCCACCAAGAAAAACAGAGGGTTCTATGTTAAGATGAGGATATTACACAAAGGCAGGCAACCTGAAAAAAGCCTCTTTTTCAAATACTACAAATGGGTTCTTTGGTTTTCTTTTACCCTCTATTTTCTAACCTCTTTCTTCATTGGTAACAAATCAATCTCTTTGTCAAAATCCCGTGTTTCTGGTTCCAAATCCTCCCTAGCTTCTCGTGTACTGTTTGAATCTGTTAACAAAACTAGTCATAAATCCAAACCCAAAAACCCAGGTTTTTTTTCTTCTTCTTTCACCAAGCTTTTCCAAATTTCTTTGCAAAAGCAATGTTTTTAATGTTCTTTTGTTTCTTTGACAGCTTCCTTCAAAGACTTGAAGATATTCATCTACGAGTTGCCGTCAGAATACAATGAAGACTGGCTTTCCAACAAGCGATGCAGCAACCACTTGTTTGCCTCGGAGGTGGCCATTCATAGAGCTTTGATGAACACGTACAACTTGAGAACATTTGATCCTTACGAAGCTGATTTCTTTTTCGTCCCTGTTTATGTCTCCTGTAACTTTAGCACGGTCAATGGTTTCCCTGCCATTGGCCACGCTCGCTCTCTTTTATCCTCCGCTATACAACTTATCTCCACAAACTACCCTTTCTGGAACCGCTCCCAAGGTTCGGACCACATCTTTGTTGCCTCCCATGATTATGGAGCCTGCTTCCACGCCATGGTAAGCAAAAATAATTTCTCAAAAACAAAAAAAAAAGGTTAATCTTTTTAGGATCCCTTAATTTGGTTTTTAACTCTTGTTTTTGATTTTGAAGGAGGATAGAGCAATTGATGATGGGATTCCAGAGTTTTTGAAAAACTCAATAATATTACAAACTTTTGGGGTTAATTACAAGCACCCTTGTCAAGACGTTGAAAATGTTCTTATACCGCCTTATATCGCACCGGAAAGTGTAAGGAAGACCCTCGAGAAAGCTCCGTTGACCGGGAACCGAGACATCATGGTCTTTTTCAGGGGAAAAATGGAGGTCCACCCCAAAAACATTAGTGGAAAATTTTATAGCAAGTAAGTTCCAAAATCAAAGTCTCGAAAATGTTCAATCTTGGCCTTAATCACTGTGTTGAAAATTACGTGTTTATCCATGTTTAATGTAATTTTGTCATCTATTTCAGGAGGGTGAGGACAGAAATTTGGCGGAGGTATAACGGAGACCGGAGGTTTTACTTGCAGAGGCATAGATTCGCCGGTTTCCAGTCAGAGATTGTACGGTCGGTTTTTTGTTTGTGTCCACTTGGGTGGGCCCCTTGGAGTCCAAGGCTTGTTGAGTCCGTGGCTTTGGGCTGCGTTCCGGTGATTATAGCGGACGGAATTCGGTTGCCATTTCCCTCCGCTGTGAAGTGGTCCGAGATTTCCCTCACGGTGGCGGAAAGGGACGTGGGAAAGTTGGGTATGATCTTGGAACACGTGGCGGCGACCAATTTGTCTACCATTCAGAGGAACTTATGGGACCCGGCAGTCACGCGGGCCCTACTGTTCAATGATCATATGCAAAAAGGGGATGCCACATGGCAGGTTCTCGACTCGCTCTACCATAAACTAGACCGATCGTACAGCAGGTCAAGGGTTTCAAGCCAATAGGAAGAGAACACGTCGGATAAGTTAATATTTTGGGCGATTGAGTTGCCAGCTAAGGAGGTGCTCTTCCAACGCGGTGCAGGTGAATGGGTTTTTTAATGGAGGACAGCTGGGCTGGTCGCTTGGATCGCCGGTGTCGGAAGGGATGGAATTTTAGTATTTTATACGGTCGCTGGGCCCACATAAAGCATAAGATTTTTTTTTTCGGGATTTTTGCGGGAAATACCATAATAATTATATATAAAATGGCCTTTGTATAATATGAAAAAGAGAGGGAAATAGGTTTTTTGGTAAATAATACCCATGAAATAGTTGTAGGGACATGACAAGACAACGTATCTGGCTTTGTACATAAGTATATGTTTTTTCAAAGTGATTTAGATTTGGATCCATGTTCAAGTTTTGAGCTGTGTTTTGGAACTTGTTGCAACTGGTTTCCGGTTTTTTTTTTTTTTTTTTATGGGCATCTTTGAGATGCACAAATCATGTAAAGTTTTAAAAAGTATATGGCCTGAATAGAATAATGAGATTGAAAATTTAGCTTTTGGTCTGGGGAAAAGGGGATTGTCATGCAAATGGCTTGAAAAGAGGTTAGAAGATAGCAGAGTTTGTCAGAGGAAAGAGAGTTAGAAATTAGACTAGGCTGCAGTGAACAGCTAAAAATGTCAGAGTCTTAAAGAAGGGATAGTGGGGAATGAGTAAGGTGGGTGCAAGGGGGCTTTGGATGCACACAGTGCTCACGAGACAGGGCATTAAAAATTCGTAGCATTTCACCCAAACTTACAGTAAAATTAATCAATTATAATTTAAAATTATATAAAATTTATTAATTTATATTTATAAATGATAAATTTTTATATAATTTTTATTAGGATTGAATAATTATGCGTTGTAAGAAAAAAAATATGGATTTATAGTTGATATGCACTCTTAAAAATAACAAAAAGTACCTTTGCTATTATTTGTCAAAACATAAATAGAAAATGATAAACGATAAAAAATAAAATACCAACAAAATGGAGTCTTAATTTATTACGTCATTTATTCATAATGGGCTTCTTACAGGCCCAGAAGAGCTTGAATACTAGTAGTAATTTTTTGGGCCTTTAAAGTCCAGACTAACAAAATCGAAAGAATGGCCTCCGAGTCTTCGACGTTAGCGGTCTATTAGACAATAGTCCATACACCTTTGCCACTGTTTTTTTTTTTTTTTGTTTAATGAATCTGACATAAATTTATTTATATTTTGGTAACCACGTGTTATAATTTGATTGGCTCTTAAAAAGGCATTTTTGAATTTATTTGACATCATAATTTCAAAAAGTTCTTTCTTTTCTTCAAAGGAATATAATAATTTTTTTTAAAATTATTTGCCATGCATGCAGATAGATGCCTTCTTAATTATCAAATCAGACAAGTAATCATATAAAAAAAGACCATACTTACATACTATTTATATAGGTAAGATGTCTCTTTAATTATTTTGGCATTTTAATGGCTAATCATTCGTTGCATTATTGCTTCAAAATTATCTTAATCACATCATATATTTTTGAACAAATAACATGAAATTTAAAAAAAAAAATTTAATTCAATTGGTTTGATAGAGATTTAAAAATAAAAATTAAGATCGGATTGATTTCGAAATTATTTTTAAGATTTAAAATCAAAAATTGATTCAAAATTATAATGTCCAATTTAGATCGAATCAATTTTTTTTATTTGGTTTGAATCAAGTTTATATATTAAATTTATATATTAGATTCAGATCAAATTTTAGATCAAAATATAAAAAATAAAAAAATTGAATCAAATTAAATTATATATTTTTCTTAATTTATATGTATTTTAAATTTTTATAAAATAAAAATAATAATTTTAAATCAAAATTTATTTCAATATATTAAAATTTTATATAAAATAATATATAAAAATAAAAAATTAATTTAAAAATCTACAAATTAAATCAAATTGATAAAATTCAATTCAAATTATATGTAAATTTAATTCGCATTCAGATCAAATTTTAAAAATTTATAATACTATATAATATTTAAAAAGATGAACAAAATCCAATTCAATTCAAATCATTATCTTCCTTAAGCATCGACACATTAGGTTTGCGGTAAAAAATTCAATCCAAACATCACTTGTTTGAAAGCAGAGGCAAGACCAAGAGTCAATTGGGGTTCACAAATTAAAACTCAAACTATTTCCCACTGTTTCTGATTTGGTGAAGGGAGCAAATCCATTATTACAGAATCAAAAGAGAAAACCGTCCCTTTCCATTAATAATAACAAACTGAATACAAACCTTCAAGGCCTCTTTTGGCCATTTCACTTTCTTTTGATGTCTTGAAAATTCCCCTAAGTACTTTTTCTTTCTTTATAAAAAGCACGTTTATGATCAATTTTATTCCAACAACAATGCAAACACCTACAACCGAACAATACAAATTAACAAAACAACAAGATATGCAAATCTTAGAGGGCTTTGGACGCTCAACCACTCTTTCACCTGTTCTTGGCAAGCAGGACCCGTCTCAAGAAACCCCCCAAACTAACAATTATCACAATATTGCATCTTGTAAAATTTTAATAACCGAATCTTCATTCGCACTCAGGCGTCTGAGTGTGATCCCTCTTAGGGTCTTGGCAATAGTCATACACCAAATAGTTCCTTTGGACCCAAGTCATGGTCGAGACTTGTTGTTGGCTAAGGCCGCCGGAGCCGGATGGAGAGACGGAGGGCGGGCTGCATGAGGCAGGCCCATTGGCGGTGCAACCACTTACTTTGAAGTTTGTATACCTACCAATGAAGGGTTGGTAGTTATAATCAGCCTTGTATTTTCCATTCTCAGTGGCCCAAGACGATGCATCCCAAATTGATCCGTAAACCCACATCGGTCTTATGGGGAATGTGGCGCCACTTTTCCTTTGGTACCTCCTAATAGGAACATCATCTACGAAAAATCTGTTGATCGAATCATAAAACATTTATAATTTAGGGAAGAATTGCAGAGATTCACTAAACTTACAAGCTTAGAATTCAGTTTCAATTTTTTTACGGACAGTGGGTTACTTTATTAGGGTAGATTTTTCTTTAGGGAAAATGACAAAACGTGCACGTCGCTTTCCATAATAGTACAATTGCATTAGCAAAAGTAACACAAATAATAACCCATCAACATAAAAAGTTGTGAGCAAATTAGCAATCCATGTCAAGCACATACTCTAAAAATATCAATTTTACTTCTAAAATTACAAGCAAACCAAGCTAGATTATTACAGGATATGAGTGGACATTAAAATTTGAACACTTTTATAATCAGTACTATCAATAAAATTTGAACACTTTTATGTAAAGCTTCTCTCTGTTCTTTTTTTTTGTTTTTTTCTGTATTTTTAGTGTTTTTTTTTTTGCATTAAACAATCAAAAGAGAAGAAGCTAATAAAAAACCAGAAGAAAAAAAGGGAAAAGCATGCATGCATGCGGTGAATACATAATTAAAGCAAAGAAAAGTTAAATTTGATCATTTGAAAATTGAAAAAAGGTGATACTTACATAATCTCACTGGGGGTCCAAAGTATAGCATAGTTATGGTAGTCTTGTGTGGGATCAAACCAAAGATGAAATTGCATTTCCCTTCCAATTATATTTCCATCCCCACTTCCTCTAATATACACATTAGTCTGTAGAGTATAGGGTTTATCTGGTGTTGTTCCAAGGAACTCAATATCAATTTCATCATGGTTTCCAGGGAAATCTTCATTGTTTGAAAGCTGCCAATTTGTCAAATTGCAGAACATCAAATTTTTAATTAGATAGACCATAAGCAATTTTTAGCGCAATAATTTTGTGTATGTTATGTATTAATCTTACATAGAAAGATGTAATGACTCCTGCTGTATAACCAGCTTGGAGCTTCATGGCAGCACCAAAGTAACCAGATTGATACGGCTGAAGTGACTTGAATCCACTTCCTGTTTTCACCATGAATGCAAAGAATCAGCACATAATGTTAGTGACTGATTATCTCCAGGACCAGGAGAAGAAAATCATGGAAACAGAAAAAGAAAAACAATGGATATGCAAGTGCAAAAACCTGAGCTTTTATCAAGCCAGATTGTTAATGAACCCTGGTCTACTCTCTGATGCTGAGGACCCCATAGATTTCTAAACCCTTGATCAAAGGTCACAGAACTAACCATGGAGCTGGGGGAGTATCCAGGGGAAGGTGGACCCTGAGCATTGCTTGAGGAAATCATGAGAAATGCTAGAAACAAAGAGGAAATTGGAGCCATATAGGGGAGGCAGAAAGGAGAAGGCATTGAGTACCGAACTATACCAGTGGTGAAACAAAAAGGACTGTCTGCCTAAATGCAGATTGAGACCTTGGGACCAAAAATTGAAGGTTCTGAAATTAGGTTTGTGTATGGAAGAGTGTGGCAATACATTTGGTATAAATAAGGTGATTGATGGACCCACCATAAAGCTAAGGTTATAAGTTGGTTGATGGTGGAGTTTTATTGTTGACAAAAACATGGAAAAACTGCTGATAAATATGAGGAAAGATTGTTGATCTTGTGATTTACACTTTTTTTTTCCCGCATTTCATAGCTTTTCTGAGAAAATTTGCTACTTCTGTTTGCTCACTTTGAGAAGTAAAGGTAAGAAATGTAAGGGAGAGGAATTAACGGAAAGTTTCATGGGCCACAACGGTTTTGATTTCATACAGTTTAGTAAACCTCAAAAAATGATGAGGTTGATGAATGAATTCTTGTACATATTATAAAAGTAAAATGCTTTTTGACATTCTTTAGAAAATGATAACGTTGGAAGATTGTACTGTGATAACGTGGGAAGATTGTACTCTGCTGCATTGTGATTTGTGATGATTGATGATTGCCTAAATTGTCCTATAGTAACCTTACCTCTCAAATGATCAAGATTTACCGAGTTCTGGACAATTTAATAGTAAACATTCGTCTTCAATCTCATTCTTAGGGTTTAACACAATTTATTCGTTCATTTTGCAATTTTTTTATTTCTTTTAAATTTTGATCTCTTTTATGAAAAGAACTTTCTATTGTCTCATTTATTTTACCATTTTATCTCAAAATCTCAAGTTTTAAATGATGTTATTAATGCAATTACCATAATTTTAAGATATAATTGGTTGATTCTCTCCTAAATTATTGTGAATCTGTTGTATGTATAGATTATTCGGAGGATTATATTAACAGATGTATAAGACTATAAATTTGCTTCTACTAAAGTAAATCTGGTTATATTTTGTAATCAGTTTGGTTAAATATTTGTGTCTATGCAAATTGCAGTTTTTAATGGAAGACCAGTCGACTAATTCAGGAGTCAGTAAGGTAGGATCAGATAAAGCCAAAAATTTTAATTAAAAATATAAACAAGTGATAATATATTAAAAATACTAGTAGTACTTATTATACATTCATGTTGGTATGAAGTTGACCTGAAGAAATTTTATGGTCCAGAAGAAAGAGCCAATCTCTTGTATGCCTAATGGGGCCTTGGAAAAATAATTAAAAGCATGCTTTATATTTT